TAGATAGGACGGAGGGGTCAGTTGTCATGGGGTACGTTAGGCAACCAGTGATGTCCACACCCATTTTCTGGGATCCACTCCATAATACGAGTTCGACCAGTTCCTCGCCAGTTCTACAGCCAACCCCAGCTAGAACGCATGTGCGTTCAAGGCTTGAAAGACGCGCCGCCCTCGCCGCGATACTGGTCATCATAGATTCAGGCGAAGCCGCCACTTCCTACGCTCGTCCTCTCTTTGAGGCAGCCCACTCGTTCAACAGACCACCTGCACCGTCACCATCACCGAAGTCAAAGCCCCTCAAGCTCGCCCAGAAATGACCTATTCGGATGCCATCTTTGGCCGCCCGGTAGCGGTACGACATGATCCACCTATGAAAAAACTTCAACTCGCTCGTGCCGATTTTCTCGATGGAGCCCCATTTCTGCTGGGATTGCTGGAATCCCTTCCGAATAGATACCTGGCGCAATACCCGCGTGATCGTATATTGTAATGACGACTGTTGCCCGTTTGGAGCAAGAGTAACAGGAGGCTGAAAGATTCGGTGAAGATAATGCTGCACTTCAACACGCGCATTAGACAGTTGGTCGAGGTTGAAGCTGACGACATCAACGCCGGCAAAGTTCTGGGCCAGTATCTCGAGAGATTGAGTTCGTTGGTATGTCTCGGACCGCCTGTCCACGACATGCAGGCTATCGACTTGTACTCAAGCATCGTCCAGAGAGATCCTCTTATTAGATCTGGGCTGGGATCAATACAGAGCGTATGGGCCGTTTGATAAGGTGACGTGGAGTGACCACGGGATTTCGATCAAGTGTAGCCAGGATTCAGATGATCGATTGAAAGGTGAAGAAGAGTGCAAGACGTGTCGCACACGATGTGACGTACAAACCTTTTGAAGTTAGCCACATAAACCAAACCCTATCCATCACCTCGATCTTCGATCAACTAGAAGGACCTCGATCATCGATCATCGATCAACAAGAGGTGTTTCGATCAACGACCATCGATCAACCAAAGAGGAGTTGAAGGCCGCACGTTGGATGGGCAAGTGACGCAAGGCGGGTGAACGCCTGAACCGCTCAAGTGTATAGTACGATGCCCAGGTGGGTAAACAACCAAAAAAGGTGTTTTGGGGTCAGAACTCTCCAACGGTGTGATTTGGATAGATAACTGAACACACTATTGGGGAGCTGGCGTGTGACCTTGTGGAATCCATATCGGTACGTTTGACTTTGGTACTAGGTGATCCACCGAGTTGATAAAAGCTGAATTTTTGGATGACCAAATAGAGCAGGGAGCTGGCACCGACGTTACTTCTAAACGCCGTGTCAGTGACTGGAAGTGGACTATGAAGAAGACCTTCCCAGAGAGATAATATAACAATACCGAGAATTATACAAATATGCAGATATATAGCCCTTACTTATTCTTTTGGGCCGTGTAAGGGTCGGTCGCTCACCAGTCTCACTTGGATCCCAGAAGAGGTACTGGTCAACCTCTACTGGTCCTTCTCTCTCAAACAATACGCGCACCACTCCCCACAAAGTAGTATATAACCACTTCTGGAAAGACAAATACACTTCACCACCAACAAGTGTCTATCCAGATAACCACTTACAACAAAGTAGCTTCTGGACGGCCCTAACCTTCCTCACAGTAATCTAATCAATCGAGTCAGGGGTGATTACTATAGCCTCAGACAAGCAACTAATCTGAAATGGAAGTCTATCCAGACGCCCAACTAGAATATGAAATCAACAGATCACCTCGAGCGCGCGTCGCCCGATCACTAACCGAAATGGGCTTGATAACTTACTCGAAGACGACGTGCCGACCCTCCTCTCTGTCGATACGCCCACACACAAGACTCCACTTGGGGTCACT